TAATGGTCACCTTTAGCTGACGTGAAACATGAAGTTGCTGGTAAACCAGGGCATTTTTCTGAACAAAATGGTAATTTTTTGTTTGGAAATGAGTATTTTGGGTGGAGATAGTATATGTTATATGAAACCCTTTATACCTGGAAATAAAAAGTCATCACCAATTCAGTGATTTAAGATTATACACAAGTTTACATAATATTTTACGGGGTTTTTTTAGAAACTTAAGATGTTTTCAGCAAATGCAGTAAATTCTGAGGTGACATTTTTTTATAAAGAAAATTTGATTCTTTTCCCCCTAAAATTGTTTGCTTTTTCATAAATTTTCCACTAATTCATTTAACTGTGCAGTTCTCTGTACAATCCTAGTGAACAAAGAGTTGAATAATTTTCAGAGACTCAGTTGAAGATGGAGAGTTTTTGGAAGACCTCCAACCTTTTCCAGGCCGATCAAATCCCACCATGTCCACTCCATCAGATCAGGGGAACGGTGGTCTTCGAACCTCCCTCCGAGTTTGTAGGTGACCTTGAACTAGGTCTCATTGGGGAACTGGTGCCATATTCTCTCCTGTAATAATATTTTCATTTAAAAGGATGCGAGTCAAGGATGCAAGTCAATCTGTTGATATCACCAGGAGGAAGGATTGAGCGGTCATCTTGTTGCATGCAGATGGTCGAGTCTCAGAATTACGAATGAAATGAGATTGGAGCTGTTCGGAGGAGCCTTTTTCCCCATTCTTTTTAGCAGCGCCCATCTTTCTTATCACCTCTTCCCTTTAGCATAAAAAGTAAAATTGAAAGGAATAGCCCTTCAGTGTTGCAGTGACGAGCTGTAATTGACATTCCACTTATTCAGTGAAGTTAAGGTCTTTTCTTTGCTGTTTGTGGTTTCGGTTCAAGTGATAGTTTGGCCCCTAGTTGCTTTTTCGTTTTATTCTTCTACTGATTACTTGTTAGCAGTCAAAAACACGAGCACAATACTATTTCCCAAGCGTATGTGCAATTACGCATGATTATGAACAATATGAATCCTAATTTGTACCGTACGTACTGTCACGTACTTGTTTTTGATCTTATCCCAGTTAAAAAATTGAATTCAAACTTGAGCCACCAATGAGTGCAAAAAAAAAAAATCTGTGGAAAGAATCGCCTCAATTTTTTTTTTTTTGGTAGAGAACAGTTTCTTTTAAAGAGTGACCAGTCATTCATCATAAAAGAAAAAATAAATCACTCCCCCCAAATTCAGCAGTTTTACTAAGTCTGGCAGCTATTTCGAAGCTCTTGGAAAGACACTCAGCTATTTATTTGTTCTTTGCGTGCGTTACTTCCAGTGTTTGGGAAGTTAACCTCCTTGATCAGTACATTTGAGTGGCTGAAAGAAATGGTGTAGGTGAACACTCTCGTGGGGGATAGGAGCGTAACCTTCATCTATGCCAGTATTAGGAGCAATGGGGAGCTGTGAGTTTGAGGGATAATTTTTGTTTTGTTCTTCACAACTTAAGTATTGTAGATACCATTTTATTTATCTGTTGTACAGACTTGGTTAAAAGATTTATTTTTAATGCTTGAAATAATGCACTTGTTTACTATTACTGTATGTGGGATAAATATATTTTCTTTTCAGGTTATGTAAAAATATGAAGTAATTTAAACATTAAATAAATGTGCTGTGGATGCTTATTTTTGTAATGGGAGCAGCATCAATTAAGTAAAAACTTTTTATTGCTTGACTCTAGCTGGGCTACAGTTCGCTATTATGCCTACCCTAAATTACGGGTTAGTATTGCAGTTTCTCCAAAGTGATATTCTGGGTACTGTTGCTTCAAGTGCAGGGCAGTTGCTCACTTGTATCACGATTACTTCAGATGCGATGCAGGAAGAAAGATTCTTCCGCAGTAAATCGCACTGTCCCAGGTCTGATGAAATTACAGAGCTCCGGTAGCCAAAGCCACCCCTGGAGCTCGGGGGACTTCAGCAGAACTCCGCAGCGGAGGTGTCGAATACTTTTTCCCCCCTGGGTTACACACTGGAAACTCCACGGCAGAGCTCTGCATGCAAGCATCCTTCAGATTTGTTTGGGTTAAGGAATTCAGCTTTTAATTAAGCTACTGAAGTCCCACCCTAAATAGAAGAAGGGGCTCCTTAAGCAAAGGATTCAGAGTGGTAGTTGCTATCCCCAAAGCTCCTTGTATCATCGGGGAGATATCTAAGCGGTGCAAGTGCTCGCCGCCCTTTCCAGTGACACCACCTATTTAGGCATCTCCCCCAGTTAAACAGAAACCCTGCACCATCGGCTTCGCTTCAGTTCCGGGACACTTACTTACTTACTATCCAGTATCGCTGTCCGTAACGTTAACAGCTGTAACAAGAAGCTGTTCAGGCTTCATTATGTAAAATAACCAGGCAGCAACATCGCTACTTAGTGCTTTCCTATTTATTAGATTTCACATTTCATATATTTACAAAGACATCTGTAGTGCTTGCTATTTAATTTGGTTGCAACTGTCACTTAATCAAGACAATACCAGTTCATACCGTCATTGTACATCATTAAAAGGGTTGCGAATTTACTGTTTTAACTATCAGCACTTTTAACTATTACAATTCTTTAGCCATTGTGTCTTTAGCCAGCTTTATAAACCTATGCTTCCATAGTAATGGTTTTAATAAGTAAAAATAAATAATTTGTTATTAAACTTACCTCAAATAAATGAAGCTTTCAATCATAAAATAGCTCAGGTGTGCTTAATAATACCCAAGTCACCTACAGCATTAGATTCTTTTCAGAACAGGTGGAGCACCCGCTGGTACAAACCGATTCTTTATGCACGTACATAACAGTTGAAGAAATTTCCTTAAATATATTGGCACTGTTACGCGTTAATACAAAGAAGACGGGAGCAGCTCAGCTGGCAGTTCATTGATTGTCGTGTCATCCTCAAGTTATCAGGAACTGTTATGCTCCCAAACCAATACTATTTACAAAGAAGTTTAGTGTTAGGTTGCATTGAAAATCGTTATTTAAAATCCATTCCATTCATTTCTGTTTCAAAGCACTGGCAGCTCATACATTTGAAAATAGTAGTAGAAACCAATAGAAACCAAATGCTGATTGTACTCGGATTTTTCACAGCTTGGAGAAAAGACGTAAATTTTTAATTAATTTACTATAAATCTCAGTGTGCAGTTTTCTAATTCACTTTTCACCGCTCACCATCCAAGCTGCTGGAAAAAAGGAGGGATCTTTTAGGAGGCTGATTGATTGACTGATGAAATCTCTCCCCTGGTACCTTTTGGATGAGGCAGGCAGGTAGGCAGGCATGATGCGTGCCACTTTGCAAGTGAGTAGGAATGGCTCTTCATTCCAGCTGTTTCAGAAACTGACTTAGTGTTCCAACTTACATGCCTGTAGCTTGAGCTACCTCTCGTAGTATAATAACCACCGGCACTATTCCTATGGCTAGATGCATTTGTTAACGTGTGCTGTGGGTTGTGCCTAGCATTTAGGGCAGCCTTGCGAACTCCCACGTTTGAGGCGTGACAATATACAAGGATGTACAATGTACTGAGCACTGATTAGATACTTTGCTGCAATAGTTGTCGTACTTGTTGCACAAAACGTGTCTAAAAAGCAGCTCAGGGCTGGTTTTAACTCTCTGCCGAGGGGTTGCACTCGGGTCCGAGCCTATAAACACATCATTGTTTGCTTAAAAATGAACCTAAAATAAGGTTTTATGTTTTGAAGGAATGGGGTCATAACTGTAAAAAGAAGGAAAAAAAAAAAAGCCAGTGACTGCTTTGGTCTTTTTACAAACTCTAATGACCTTATTTTACAGTTTCTTTTTAGCCTCAGTCTTAAATTCCTAAATTACTCAGAATTTCTCTTAGCAGAGACCTCAGAAACCTCAGCTAAGGAAACGTAGCCAGCATTTAGCAATTTTAAAGCAGACGCAGCTTTCTGCTTACAATGCAATGTCCTGGTGAACATACAGCTTCTGAAAGAGAAAATATTACAGAAAAAAGACAAAGCGTAAGTGTCAGCTTAAAACAGTATGATGCTTTGAGGTAAAACCCCACGAACCGTTGGCGCGAGCTGTTACGTTACAGCTCGAGACCCTGAAGTCCTGTGTTACGCTGTATTTGAGGATTTAAAGAAGCATCAGAAAAAGTCATTTAAAACACGCAGGAAAGTGTCAGGAGATAAATTATCACCATCTGTTGAAAAATAAGGAAACCTCTGTTCAGATCCTTTTAACAAAGCTCCTATTATTAAGCTTTCAGCCGCACAGACAAGTGCCTCTCAAAGTAACCACCTCCCAGGGAAGTACGTATGTAGTCGACTCCTTTTTAAGATGCTAAAAAATAATCCTTGGTTTATTGGCTAGCTAGTTCTCCCACAACTCCTTTTGCTCCAAAAAGAACAAAGAATGTGGAGGATATAAAAAATAAACCGCATCGGGGCACCAGGAATATCACCAAAAAAAAGTTGAAGAGTATTTTCGAAGAGTTAAAAGTTAGTCCGTGTAAAGCATAACAAAATTCACCCTTGTTTACTCGCAGACATTAGTTTCTGCCTCCAGTAGTTTGTAACAGTTTCTTCTAACATAACCAGATGAATGAATGGACAGATTTTAAATGTTTTATTGCTTACAAGTTGTCGAATAGGTTAAATACCTGGTAAAGGAACAGAAATCCAATTTTCAACAGGAATAGTTCTAGGTTGTTGGTTTTGTTGTTTTGTGGGTTTTTTTTCCAAAAATAACTATGCTCATTACATTTTGATAATCTCTAAAAAAGTAATGCCTAATAAATCTGGAATACTATTTCTGAGCCTCCTCATATTGCACAAGTTTTCACGCTTAAACACTGCTGCTTTTCCTGTGCAAATGTAAGGCAATTGTATCATCCCATTGAATGGAGTCTGTAATCCGTTGAACCGGGTGCTTATTTTGAAGTTTTGATTTCCCTGTTAAAACTTTCAGGAGAGATCACAAGACAGAATAAAGTTTGATATTTATTAATACATATATTTGAAAGATTATTTTCTGAATGTAACAAATATAAAAAGTTATCTGTGTTTACAAATTGTCAAAAACGTCCAGAGTACAAAAGGATACAGTACATTAGTTCTATGGAAGCGATTGTACCCTCTGGCACTGAAATCATCTTCATACGGTGGGCATGCACGTTATACACCAGAAAAACTCATGCATCAATCAGAACAAAAAAGGAAATAGGACAATTTGCTGCTTTCTCTGATTACAAATTCATTGCTTCTGTTAGTTTTCTTTCCTCAGGAATACCATTTACCTGCAAATAGATGAGAATTTATACAATCCGTCAGTGGCAGATGATGCTTCAACAACATTGAACTGTCAGCTGGTAGCACAGCACTAAAGAGTATTTATTAGTCCTTTATCAACAACCACGGTGGAGAAACGCCACGAGTACAACCGGGACCGAAAGATGACACACATGTGAAAAAGCTTTGCTTGCTTGCTTCTGGGAAAGGAGGATTGGTCAACTGGGAATTTCTCTCCCTATTTGGGATCTAACAGACTTCGGGGAGACTGTGAAGCTCCAAATGGAAAATGCAGTATACAGTGTACATGCACTATTTATTGCTTTTGCATTACAGGAATACCCTACAAACTTTTCCATCTAAGCACCTTAAAATAGTCCTCATGAATTTTGCCAATCGACAGAGAGGGAATTGTAACACTTAATATACCTTTTCATATTGGAGACCGGTAGCAATTTTCAGCAGTGTAATACAAACGTTAGATGTGAGTTGTCATCTTTCATACAATTCTTTCCCAATCATGTTTTAACTTTGTGAAATAGTTGAGCATTCCATCAGCTATTAAGTCTGAGTTTTTATACAAGGTTAAAAAAAGAATTGTTTCTTATTGGGAATTCAAATAGCTCCTGAAGAGGACAGTGGTTGTTAGACACGGTCTGCTCTTCAAATCAGTAAGTACAGTCCACTGAAGCTTTAAAATAGAAATATCTTCTTATTCATGGTGGTGACGGTTAGTATGTTAATAATCCTCAG